AAAACAAGTAATAAAATGGCAATAAATACATAGCTATCAATAATTACTCTGAATGTAAATGGACTAAATACTCTAATCAAAAGACACAGTGTCAGAATGGATAAAAAAACAAGACCCACATATGCTGCCTATAAGAGATTCATTTTAGATCTAAAGATACCTGCAGACTGAAAGTGAGGGGATGGAGAAAATTAACATGCAAATGAATGTCAATAGAAAGCCAAAGTAGTGATACTTACATCAGACAAACTAGACTTTTTTATTTTTTTTAAAGATTTTATTTGCGAGAGGGAGAATGAGAGACAGAGAGCATGAGAGGGAAGAGGGTCAGAGGGAGAAGCAGACTCCCCACTGAGCAGGGAGTCCGATGTGGGACTCGATCCCGGGACTCCAGGATCATGACCCAAGCCAAAGGCAGTCGCTTAACCAACTGAGCCACCCAGGTGCCCCAGACAAACTAGACTTTAAAACAAAGACTGTAACAAGAGACAAAGACGGACACTATATAATAATAAAGGGGACAATCCAACAAGATACAATTGAATAATCATAAATTAGCCAATAAAGAGGCAAATGCAAGAAAACTAAAATCATACGATGCACCTTTTTTGACCACAATGCTATTAAACTGCAAGTCAACCACAAGAAAAAAATCTGGAAAGACCACAAACACAGGATGTTAAACAACATGCTATTAAACAATGATGGATCAAACAAGAAATCAAAGAAGAAATTAAAAAAAAAATACATGGAAACAAATGAAAGTAAAAACAGTATGGTCTAAAACCTTTGGGATGCAGCAAAAGCAATCCTAAGATGGAAGTATATAGCAATATACAGGCCTACCTCAAGAAGGAAGAAAAATCTCAAGCTAACTTTTCACCTAAAGGAGCTAGATACAGGATAACAAAGCCTAAAGCCAGAAGGAAGGAAATAATAAAGATTACAACAGAAATAAATGATACAGAAACTAAAACAAACAAAAAACAACAACAAAAAACCCAATAGAACAGATCAATGAATGCAGGAGTTGGGGAAAATTAATACAATTGATAAACCTCTAGCCAGACTTATCAAAAAAGAGAAATGACCCAAATAAATAAGATCACAAAGAGAGGAGAAATAACAACCAATATCACAGAAATACAGTTGTAAGAGAATATTATGAAAAATTATATGCCCAACAAATTGGACAACCTAGAAAAAATGGATAAATTCCTAGAAACATATAAATTGCCAAAACTAAAACAGGAAGAAATAGAAAATTTGAACAGACTGATAACCAGCAAAGAAATTGAATCAGTAATCAAAAAACTCCTAACAAACTAAAGTCCAGGATCAGATGGCTTCACAGGCAAACTCTACCAAACATTTAAAGAAGAGTTAATACCTATTCTTCTCAAACTATTCTAAAAAACAGAAAAGGAAGGAAAACTTCCGAATTCATTCTGGAAGGCCAGCATTACCCTGATACCAAAACCAGAAAAAGACACCACTAAAAAGGAGAACTATAGGCCAATATCCTTGATGAACAAAGATGCAAAAATCCTCAACAAAATATTAGCAAACTGAATCCAACAATACACTAAAAAAATAATTCACCACATCAAGTAGGATTTATTCCTCGGCTGCAAGGGTGATTCGGTATTCATAAATCAATCAACATGACAGATCACATTAATAAAAGAAAGGATAAGAACCATATGATCATTTCAATAGGTGCAGAAAAGGCATTTGACAAAGTATAACATCCATTCATGATAAAAAAAAAAACCCTTAACAAATTAGGTTTAGAGGGAACAGACTTCAACATACAATGACCATATAGGAAAACCCCACAGCTAATATCACCCTCATTGGGGGAAAAACAGAGAGCCTTTCCCCTATGGTCAGGAACAAGAAGACAAGGATGTCCACTCTCACCAACATAGTACTGGAAGTTCCAGCCATGGCAATGAGACAACAACAAAAAAATAAAAGGCATCCAAATCGGCAAGGAAGAAGTCAAACTTTCCCTATTTGAAGAAGACATGACTCCAAGAAACTGCTAGAACTGATGCATGAATTCAGTAAAGTCTCAGGATACAAAATCATCGTATAATCTGTTGCATTTCTATATACGAATAATGAAGCAGCAGGAAGAGAAATTAAAGAATCAATGTCATTTACAACTGCACCAAAAACGATAAGATACTTAGGAAGAAACCTAATCAAAGAGGTGAAGACCTGTACTCTGAAGAATATAAAACACTAATGAAAAAAATTAAGATGACACAAAGAAATGGAAATACATTCCATGCTCATGGATTGGAAGAACAAATATTGTTAAAATGTCATATTACCCAAAGCAATCTACACATTTAATGCAATCCCTATCAAAATATCAACAGAATTTTTCACAGAGCTAGAACAATCAATCATAAAACTTATATAGAACTACAAAAGACCCTGAACAGCCAAAGCAATCTTGGAACAGAAAAGCAAAGCTGGAGGCATCAAAATTCTGGACTTCAAGTTGTATTACAAAGCTGTAATAATCAAAGCAGTATGGTACTGGCACAAAAACAGACACATAGATCAATGGAACAGAATAGAAACCCAGAAATGAACATAGAACTATATGTCAATTAATCTTCAACAAAGCAGGAAAGAATATCCAATGGGAAAAAGACTGCCTCTTCAACAAACGGTGCTGGGAAAACTTGACAGCAACATGCAAAAGAATGAAACTGGACCACTTACTTATACCATACACAAAAATAAATTCAAAATGAAAGACCTAAATGTAAGATCTGAAACCACAAAAATCCTAGAAGAGAACACAGGCAGTAACCTCTTTGACATCGATCGTAGCAACTTCCTTCTGCATATGTCTCCTAACACAAGGGAAACAAAAGCAAAAGCATTGGGACTTCATCAAAATAAAAAGCTTCTGCACAGCAAATGAAATAATCCACAAAACTAAAGGTAACCTACAGAATGGGAAAAGATACCTGCAAATGATATATCCAGTAAGGGGTTAAAATCCAAAATATATGAAGAACTTATAAAACTCAACATCCCAAAACCAAATAATCCAATAAAAATGGGTAAAAGTCATGAACAGACATTTTCCCAAAGATGACATACGGATGGCCAACAGACACATGAAAAGATGTTCAACATCACTGATCATCAGGGAAATGCAAATCAAAACTACAATGAGATACCACCTCACATCTGTCAGAATAGCTAAAATCAACAACATAAGAAACAAGAGGCGTTGGTGAGGATGTGGAGAAGGGGGAACCCTCTTACACTGCTGGTGGGAATACAAACCGGTGCAGCCACTTTGGCAAACAGTATGGAATCCCCTCAAAAAGTTAAAAATAGAAAATACAAAAATACTGACTCAAAGGGATATATGCACCTTGATGTTTATAGCAGCATTATCTATAATAGTCAAATTAAGAAAATAGCCCAAGTGTCCATCGACGGATGAATGGGTAATGAAGTTGTGATTGATATTATATATATAGATATATATAGATATATAAAATAGAAAGAGAGAGAGAATGGAATTTTACTCAGCCAAAAAAAGAATGAAATCTTGCCATTTGCAATGACAACGGATGGGGCTAGAGAATACTATGTTAAGTGAAAAAGACAAATACCATATGATTTCACTTATATGTGCATTTAAGAAAGAAAACAAATGAACAAAGAGGAAAAAAAACAGAGGCAAATCAGAACAAACTGATGGCTACCAGAAGGGAAGTGGGTGGGGGGATGGGTTAAATAGGTGATGGGAATAAAGGAGGGCACTTGTGATGAGCACCAGGTGATGTATGGAATTGTTGAATCGTTATACTGTACACCTGAAACTAATATTACACTGTATGCTAACTAATCGGAATTTAAATAACAACTTGGTGGGAAAAAAAAACAGATTCTATATACACTTGGCCTGGTAATGGCCCCACTGGTAATATTTTACAAAACAAGTACAATATTGGGGTGCCTGGGTGGCTTAGTTGGTTAAACGTCTGCCTTCAGCTTGGGTCATGATCCCAGGGTCCTGGGATCGAGTCCCACATTGGGCTCCCTGTTCAGCAGGGAGCCTGCTTCTCCCTCTCCCTCTGCCGTTCCCCCAGTTTGTGCTGTCAAATAAATAAAATCTTTAAAAAAAGTACAATATCACACTCTCTTTCCCTCTCTGTGTGTAGTATGTGTGTTGTGTATGTATATATATGTATATATACATGCACATATTCACACACATAGGCATATGCATAAACTTACATATTATATGCATGGACCTAAGTGGCATGAACATCAATACTTTTCAGAAAAGCCTCCAAATATGCTTACAGGATTGAGAACTACTGGCTTTGAGATTTTCTGGTATTTTTGCGTTGTTTCTCAAACTTTAAGAAATCACCATTATAGGGGCACCTGGGTGGCTCAATTGTTTGGGCATCTGACTTCAGCTCAGGTCATGATCTCAGGGTCCTGGGATCAAGCCTCATGTTGGGCTCCCTGCTCAGCGGGGAGTCTGTTTCTCCCCCTCTCTCTGCCCCTTCCCCACCCCCGTTCATGGGTGCGTGTGCTCTCTCTCTCTCAAATAAATACATGCATTTTTTTTAAAAAAGAAATCACCGTTATAAAAGAACATCATAAAATTAACAATTTTTTCTCTTTTCTATGCTATCTTGTTAAAAAATAAATCTCTGAATACAGGGAATTAAGTTAGAAAAAAATCCAATATTTTCTTCTTTTTTATTTTATTATTTTATTTTATATGTTCTAACTAGTTCCAGATATTTTTATGCCTTATTGATTAAATCTCATTTCCATATCTTCACTGTATGCTATTTCATAATAAGCTCAAGAGCCATCTATAAATAGTACAAATTAATTCTTCAATATTTTAAGTTATTTGGGGTTTTCATTTGATGACAGCTTTCTAGATACAATAAGCTTGAGGAAATTTTTCAGCTTTTTAAGACCTAATTACTTACTTTGTCTGCAGCTGCCAACAAGTTGTCAGCCATTTTGTCAAGGTTTGGTGCTTTTCCTGTGTAAATGAATCTCATCATTTCTTTAAAAACCTCAGGGTCTACATCATTTATTTCCACTCGATTCTGATATTGAAAACAACAGAAAAAAGTTATACTCAAAGAACATACACATGCACAAATGAACCAAAGTGAAACTTGGATAATAATTTAACTAAATCTGCACCCAAGTGCTCTATTTTAAACTCTACTTTAAAATGGAGGTAAGTAAATCTTCAGTAAGCTAAGCAGGCAAAATGAAGCAGGCAAGTCTAACAGGACAAGTATACCCAGTCAAGCACTACCATGTAGGTATATAAAACCTCAACTTCTCAATTATAAAGAGTAAAACAAAAACAAACGAAAGCCTTTAGGCCAAACAAAATACACGTATTCAGTTCTTAACCTCCATCTTAGAAGAAGACAGCTATTAACATTTTCTTTGTTGAATTCCAAGGTCATAGTACAATGCCTAAGACCCCACAACCAATGGTACTATTCCCAGCTTTAAGCAAAAGTTGGGTCAGGTATGTCAAGTAATTCCATAGCCCACTACCTTGGAACTCTCCTTTTGCAAAAATGACATGTCATACTATCTACTGGCAAATTACCTCTTTGCTCAAAACACACTTGAGTCCAATGAGTAGTAATTCCTTTTTTACTCCTACAACTTCGTATTTGGTTTCTCTCGGGATCAATGAAGCTTAAACATCTAACACTAAACAATACCAAACTTTTCTGACCCTTTGCTGACAATAACATTTGACATTATTCATGTCTCCTCATGTGGAAGTGATCAGAAGGCTAATCATAGTACCTGGCAGAACAACAACCCAAGGAAAGAAAGCAGCTATTTGCTGCAGCCTTTAGTTCTACAGAAAGAATGAAGGAGAGCCACATAAATAAACTTTGGAGTTACCCAGTTAGAGCATGAAGGCTCACATGTAATGCAACCAGCAAAGAATCAATCTCTGATCTTTAATCTGACTACATTTCAATTTGACAGGTGAAGGAGAAACATTTGGGAAAACCAAAGATATAATATATTGATTAAATATATAACAACATTGATGTAATTTATATCGTTTTTTAAACATCTAATAAATATCTTATTTTAGTGGTAAAAAGAATGCAGAATTCCAAAATCAATGCATAGTCTAGAAAAGAGGAATAAACATCTTAACCAGGAAACTCTCAAGTAGCTATGGACCAGAACCACTCTTCTGGATAAAAACTACCCACTTAGTTTGCCACCAGATGGACAACAAAACATCTATTATTTGGAATATTCACCCACATTAGGCTACATCTATTGTTCTACTACAGAACACATTTTTTTCCTATCCTTCTGTTTCTAAAAACATAATGTAACAATGCATAATGCATAATGTAACATGCACCATTACTTTCAAAATATACATTTCACTATTCTACATTAGCACAAATTAAATATTAGCCTTTAAACCATGTTTACCTTTTTGCTTTCTTCCATTTCGTGTTCAAACATTGCATTAAAAACTGGGGATCGAGCTGTAATAAGATTACGCATCATTATTTAATGCATAGATTTATGGGAAAAATGTACAATATTACCCAAAAGTTGAAAGTACCTGCAAGTACAGATTTATGAGCTTTAAATTCTTGTCCTCTCACAAAAAAACTGCAATCTGTAAATCTTGTGTTTTCCCAGAGATTACCTAAATCTTCTGCTAGTCGACATTCAGGCACCTTCAAAGTATTTGTATTAGTATGTCCTGATATATTTACTGAATCTTGGACCACACTCACCTAATAAAAAAGGGACAGCAAGAAAAACATTTTTACAAATTAGTATCAGTAGTTATTAAGTATATACTTAAATTTCTTATCATTAAAATCATTTGGACAATTCAAAGTACTCCTGATCAAAAATGTTAATACTGGAAACTAAATTTAAGGATATAATTTAAAGGAGAGAATATAGAAAATATTGATTTTCAAGTGACATTTTATGTAAATAAATGGCTTATCGATTGGTTGGAATGCTTGGTTATTAAAGTAATCACAAAAACTATTTCTCAGGAAAATAAGTCATAAGATGATGTCAAACTGAAGCAGGAGACATTTTTGTGAGGTGAAGGAAGAAATTCCTTTAATTTTTATTCTCACTTACAGCAAAGACCTATCAACATTTAAAAATTATTACACATGTAATAAACATGGTATCACACTCATAAGGACTTTTTATAGTATTAAAAAAGGTTATAAAATTACAGTCTATGATATGTAATTTGGGAAGTATTGTAGGTGTGATCTCTACATGTTTTGACACTAGTAAAATTTATTTAAATATCTAGTAATATTGATTTAAGTTGTAAAGTGTAAGAATTCCCACAAAACCAATCGTACTCATTAAAATTCATGGAAATCTTTTATAATAATCAACAGTAATAATACAATTTAGTTCAATTTGTAGACTTTTTGTTTATCTATGAAATAATAAAAGTATGATTAAAACAATGCTTTTATAAAGATTTCAATATAATATGGATTTTCTCTCATTAAAGAGGACTATATACTGAATAAAATCTTAAAACACGATTGAGTCTTAAGCACCACTTTTAAGAAGAAGTATGTTACTAATATTAGAAATTTCATATTACATTTAATAAGTTGAAGAAAATACTACTCAATTATTAAAGCAAATATTTAAAAAAAAAAAACAACAAATATTTCAGAGTAAATGAACCATTAGTGCATTAGTACTATGTGTTAGTTATCTACTGTTTTAAGCTTCTAAGTTTTGTGGTCATTTGTTAGCTAACACAGAATGTATAATAATGGTCCAGTATAAAACATCTCAAGAATATTAAATCTCAGGAAGTTCTCCTTCATCCTGATGTATATAAACATGTATCACATGGGAATAAATGGATACTTCTAAAGAAAAACTTTATTTTTCTGAGGATATTTTTATTAGCCATTTTGTTTTTTCAACTTGCATTATTAAGTATTTGGCATCATATATATCATAGAAATCATCTAATCCAATCACCTTATTTTATAGAAAGATTTCAAAGGAAGATCAAAAAAGGTAACTAATGTGTCAATCACACTGGCAATCAGTATCAAAGGAAGACTAGAGACTATAACTCAGATTCTTTTTTTTTAAACCATTCTTTGTACTACACAAATACTTCTCTGGATATCTTTTAAAAACATTAGTACTACTTTAATGCAACTATGGTTCAAAAAGGATTTATTGCAACAATACTGTGAGATAATTTTCTACATATAGAAGCCAAGACATTGTGTACATAAATAAATAAATAAATAAAATCCAGCAATAAAGGTTCTCTATTCTACTAATTTTTTAATTATCCAAATTGTTTCTAAAATGACTACAAAAAAGAAAAACTTCACTAATCCTTACCTGATTACCCTGTTACGCTACCCATTATAACTTAATGATACTTTAAAAATGCTGGTGTTGATACTCAGGATTTAGTTAGAGATCACTTTTTTATCATATAGACAATATTTATTTCTTCCTATCAAGCACTGGTCTTAAAAATTTCTAGACACTAGGAAGTGGATCAGTTCAATTACTTGCATAAAGTATGCAGTCAAGTCATAAAAATGTGATAACATAATTTTAGGAAAGGATTTTTTAAATTCTATTTATTATCTATTATTGTAACACAAAATAATACATTAAACATAAACATTTGGCCAAAATCAGATGACAGAAGAAATAAAATGATCAAAAAATAAAGCCATTTTTATCAGGCATAGCTACTGATGATATTATATTTTTATTTTGTATATGTAATCATAATTCAGAAGAAATTGTATTATTAACATACATCTACATAGTATTATCATGGTGACCACAAATTTTAACTAAGACTTAATTAACATTTCATACTTCAAGGTATATTCAAGGGACTATTTATGCAGCAAAAATTAATGATCTAATTAACAATTAATACAGAACAAAATCTGATTATTTTCTGGATACCTATATTTAAGAAACTGGTAACATTTTAGTTTTCTCTAGCACATATTCAAATACAGGTAATGAACATTCTTACTGAATGGAACCTAGAGTAAAAAATTCAGAAAAAAGTCTGAGATTCTTTCCTATGGTTAAATTGTTGTTCTTTCAAAATAAAAAGGCAAAGTTACAATATTCAAAATTGACAAATGCTGTAAAACAAAACCTCAAACACATTTGAAAACTCTTCTTCAAATCTGGTTTTAGCTTAATCGTGAGAATATAATTTAGACTAAATTCTAGTCAACTGTGACTACCCTAGAAATCTGGGTCTCCCATAGTGTGAACTGAGGTGACTACTGTTTCCAGTTTTAAAAAAATCTCAATTCTCCAAACTGTTTTAAAAACTAGGAATTTATAACGGTTCATCATAGTACAAATTTTGCCACTCTTGATCAACTACCTAACCATCCGTCACAGTGGCTCCACAGTCAGAAACTTTCCATGGTCCAATTTCACACCTTTAAAATAGTGGATCTTAGACTTTTTGACTGTCCTAGATAGGCATCCTTCCTAAAAATTTGGGTGACAGAAACAGGGCTGTCAACTTTTCATTTTGCCATAAAAGGGCTTTTTAAAGAATAAAACCTAACTTCCATCCATTATCACAAGTATTTTAAAACAGAAGTGATATCTTAGCAACAAAAAAATAGGATGGGAAAAACGGTTTATCCTTCTAGATGAATTAACTTTATGAAAAACTCAATACATAACATATATTCTATCTGTATATGCATAATCTTCTGCAAGCATGGAATAGTATGGGTCTACAGACTATGAGACTAAAAATCTACTGGATTTAAAAAGATGAACTAATCTAAACAGTTTTCTATTTTTCAAATGTATTCCTCATCCTGTCTTCTGCATCACTTTGGGAGGGAGAGAAGGGGCAGAGCTCTTTACACTCCTAGAAATATCTACCTCTGGCTACTTGATTCATAGTGGAACTTGCAAGATGAAGTTAGGTCTTGCAGAAAAAGGGTAGCACCCAACTGCCTTACCTGTCTACAGCACCACTTGCAGGGGAGGGGGAGGAGGCAGTTCTTTAGGTAGGGCAGTGCAATGCTTCCTCCTCTTCTGCAAGCAGTGCTGGAGGTGCTGTAGAAGGAAGGGCATCAATGAGAGGTATAGAAGAAATGGTGGAGGGCATGAGGAATGTTTGTTCAAAGTACTTTTTGCCCACTGATGCTAAATACAGTGCGCCCAGGGTATAAGTCTCTACATCAGTAAAAAGGTACATATTACACGTATCCAAAACTGAATCTGATCAATGCCAACTTAAAATGTAAGTCATGGTGGGTTATATTTTTAGGAGGTCACTAGCATGTGGATAAAAAAACATACTTCAAAAGTATATATTGAAAAAAGATCTTAATTTCAGCCTTCATTCTGAATTTCTTGGTTGACTAGGTTCCAATATAATATGCTTAGGAAAATATCTGTAAACACGATTTTAATTCTAAAAAAAAATATATTTTCTTAGTTTATTTACATAAAGACTTAACTGCAGTAAATTTTTGAAACTGGATTACATAGCTTTTTAAGGTCCTTTAAATTCAAAGATTATATGATTTAAAAAAATTAACATGTTGGAATTTAAGATAACTGCTAAAATTCTGGAAGAATCTACATTAAGGATGTTAAAATTTTTAAATAATACCTGTATTTATTTAAAATACTACTCTGAATATATGTCTATTGGCAACAAATGTTTTAGTATTTGTTTTACAAATTATTTAATGATAAACTCTGCTGAAGACACTTGTGGTATGTGCTTTACCAACCAAATAATTATATTCATAAATTCATCCTACAGTTCATTTAACTTGTCTAAGTGAAAATAAGATGCACTATATTTGCATTATGTAGTCTCTAGAGCCACATTTCAATTATTTTTCTGACAGCATAAAAACATACAATTAGTTTATAATGTTGCCAAGAAATTCTACATATTTTCTACAAAGAGATTAAAGCTAATTTAGTAGCAGTTAAGGTAAGTTACCATGCTTCCAAGACACTCACTGGTCTATAATGGCTTACTAAAATATATTTAACATTGAGTTTACTTGATCATAAACTTTCAATTTGTTTTCCTATGAAAATTATCAACTACCTTAAACATTTTGATGAAACTATGTTACTGATGTATATTCTTATAAACTGTATTGGTAACATAATATAATCCTTGAATTCACCCCAAAGAGGAATCTCAACTATTTGTATAGATAAAACTATGTAATGATGACAATGACAAAAGCAAATTCTAGGCTCAAATTAAGACAAATCATAAGTGTAAATTATTACAGGGGCTATGCTGGTTACTATTAAAATATGACATTTTATACAAATAAATATACCTCACAAGTTTGTGAACAGACATGGGCAAATCTTAAACATTTAGGATGCTATTTCATATAATGCTAACATCTATTTAATTAAATGAATCCAACTGTCTGAATAAACAAAAAGCTTCCCAATCTCTTCAGGAACTTTCATTATGTATGTATTCAAACTGATACAATACTAATCATGTTTAATATGGTCAACCTGAATATGACAAAAAATAATGAACATCTATGTTACAATTATTCAGAATGAAGAAGATACTTACAAATTTTCATATAAAGATATACACATCTATAGTCTTCCTAGGAGGAAGAAGAATTTAGTATTTGATAGTATAACTACCATATATAATTTACAACTATAGACATGACATATTTTTCAGGATGGGCTACTTACTACATTGATTTCTAAAACAATCTAGTCTTACTGGTAAAAACATTTACAAATGAAACCTTATCAATTATACCAATTACTGAATTTTAAAAATATACCCAATTAAAATAAAGTATGCCCAATATTGTTCTACTTTATATTTTTGCTTTACCATGAAATATAACTTCGGAGTTCCTCAAAATAAAAAATATACCCACCTCACAAAATAATGTAAGCTTGTCGTCTGGTAAAAGACCATTAGCTTCATCAAGCAAAAAGTCCCTTCGAATGAATTTTTTAAAACCCCAGTCTTTCCCTTGTACAAATCGATATGCTCTTTGGCTTTCTGGTGGAAAACAGAATAGAAGTTTAAATAAAAAAAATCATCTAATTGATAACACAGTTAAATGAATATGCAAAAATAAAACTTGGCCAATACATCCGTTATAAGAATTATAGATATATGTATTCATAAATGAAATGTCTTAAAAGTTACATCACATAGGACAAGATTGTTTCACAGCAGTATTCAAATTTTGGCCACCATCAATGAGCTCACTTTCAGATTTCTGGATCTCTAAGTAGAAGAAAAGCCGTATCAAATCTCCTGGAGAAGGAAGAGATCTCTCTAACAATGCAGGCCCTTGAATAATGAAGGAGGAACAAAATACATTGGCATATGCATATTCCTCCTCATCAAAATCTGATTAGAAACATACCCCTCATTTCTTGCTTCTCCCTCTAAAAATGGATGCTCAAAATCTCCAAGGCATTCTTTAACTTTCCTGGGGCATCTATCCCACTAATTTAAGTTTTAATGAACTAGAGAAAAATCCATCAATTGGTAAAACAAACAAAACAAAAAACACTAAAGTCTCTTATCACTCCTAGACCTTTGGACATAATCCCCTCACCCCTAGAAACAACTTTCATGAAGTCTAAAAGATGATTTTAGTATCATTTATAAAAAACAATAAAGTCTGAAGCAAATGTTTCAAATGCCTAGCATACTGTAGAACTGCGTATTATAAAATAAACAAGATCCTCAACAGAAAGTATTTACAATCTGTTATACAAAGTATTAACTGGAGGTGAAAAACCAGCAATAAACCTAATTGAAAGATTCCACATTATGGACTGAATGTTTGTATCTCCCCAAAATTCTTTTGTTGAGATCATATCCCCCAAAAGGATGGTATTAAGAGGTCAGTGATTGGAACTAGATGAGTTCATGAGGGTGGAGACCTCCACAAAGCTCCCTAGAGCTCAATCAGCTATGTGAAGACAGTGAGAAGTCAGCAGTCTACAACCCAGAAGAAGGCCTTCACCAGAACTCGACCATGCTGGCACTCTAATCTTGGACTTTCTGCCTTCAGATCTGTGAGAAGCCAATGTCTGTTGTTTATAAGCAATCCGGTCTATGGTACTTTGTTACAGCAGTCTAAACCAAGACACTCCACTACCATAAATGTCAGACATGAGGAAAATATATATAAAACAATGTACTACTTAGGCAATAAAAGTAATTATTTAAAACTTTATCTGGAGGAAGTTTTTTTTTTTTTATAATGACGTTACTTGATTCTGTGATTCACTTCTGGAAATCACTTAAAATTTAATGTGGTAATTTATGACATATTTTCCTACTATGCACACTGTACATTTCCTACAATGCTCTTCTATTATGAAGCTCTAGGCCACATGGTTTCAGAGGGCTATATATGTGAAACTTTGAAATGAATTTAATAGGCCCTGAGACTAAGGAAAACTGATTTCCTTTTGGTCAGTGTTCAGTCCACTGCTCAAAAAAATTCTAGTGATAGAACACCAGAACATTCAATCTCTTTTCACATTGTTCCTCAAATTTTATTATCTGGAAAAACAGCAAGGGAGAACTATTTCCTGAACACCAATTATATTTGCCAGGAACTGAACCAGGCACCTTGCCCTAAAAGCAACTATTTTTCTAAGTGACAAGTAAATATTGTTTTAGGACATGAAAAAGTAAAATTTTAATATTATTTTTAACAAATTTTACATGTCTTATGAAGTCTAAGATTTATTAAAACAACCATAACTCGAGACCAGCATTTAAAATTAAACAATGGCCACACTGCATGTTTGAGGTTAATCAGATTTCAATGGGGAAAAAATATATCCTTTTTTAGGTAAAAGTACATAAGTTAACATGTAGTTACTCAGAGACTTCTTTACTTCAAATCACTTACCCATTGCCTTTGTTTCTTCCCTTTTAGCGTTTAGAAGGGAAAATTTGAATTTTGCTCGAACTTCACTTTTTGGGCAGCTGACTAAAAGCAAATATAAGGACAAGTAGTCTTTACTTTCATCATCTAATCCCTTTGGATTTACCCTCAGGCACCTAAAATAAAACAATAGGCTCATATGGAGGAATATAAAACTTAAAACATTCAAAAGAGAGAAGCAATACTGAAATTAGTCATTAAATATCACAAATAGCACTCCTATCAATATCTCCAGTTCTTTATAATTCTCAATACTATTAGGAAATTATAAATCTAATACAACCCATTAAGAATCAATAACAAAACCATAAAGTAGCTGAAGATTATATCAAAAACAAAAACTCAAAACAAAAATCTTACCATTTCATTTTGTCACTGGGGCTAGATGAGAATGTTGAACTTTTTAACACTTCACCCATTTCCTCTCGACAAAAACTGAAGTTATTAATGGTCCACATGTAGGAAAATTTTACTACTTTAACCTAAGAGATTCAGAAAACCACTTTTACAATGATGACTCTTTTGCTTTTAACTTGTCACATGTTAAAAATCCTGTGACCCACTTTTCTAACACCTGGCATAATTATAACACAATGCTTTACGATATTTTCAAAATACTCTAAAATTTGTAAATAACATAGAGTAAGGCATTTTTAACAGCATGTACCTGTGTATAACACCAGCTTTCTGCTATAGGACCAGTAGACATATCTCCAGGGAGAGGTGGGCTGGGTTCCCGAGACATTGCCACTTTACTGCAGTCTTCCAAGATTTATGCAATATGCCACACAGATGAATACTTTACTACAAAGAAAATAAATTTCATTTACTGATCAAAAAGTCAGACTGAATCAAGAGGGAGCAAATAAAAATTAGTTTTCCAAATTTGATTATGAGGGAACATGCAAGGGTTTCATTATTTCAATAATTAAAAAAAGAAATCATAATCCTTTGTGACATGTAACACTTAAAATCTAAACAAACTTAATGTTACAGCTATTATTTTATAAAGGTATACTTATCAAAATAGCACAAACCAAAAAATATATTTTAATAGTAAGAGTATAAACATAAAGTCACAAAATAACATGGACGCTTACTGACAATTGTCATTGTGCCTTGAATAAGGTGGGGGTTAGGAGCACTGAACCTCCAGGCAGTCAAAAATCCACATATAATTTTTGACTCCCTAGAAACTTAACTACTAATAGCCTACTACTGACCAGAAGCCTTAGTGATAACATGACAGCTGAGTAACACATATTTTATATATGTGTTTTATACTGTATTCTTATAATAAAGCTAGAGAAAAAGTTATTAAGAAAATCATAAAGAAAATACATTTACTATACAATATTGATTGAAAAAAATCTGCGTATAAGTGGACCTGCACAGTTCAAACCCATGTTATTCAAGGGTCAACTAATATCTGATTCACCTTCCTTTATCTTCTGATATATTCACAAAAATCAAAAGGGTTGCAAAGTTAGAACAACCCTGAAAACTACAAATATTAGTCACTCATCTGTCCAAGTTTTGGTCAAAACAGAGTGGCAACTAACAAGCAATATTTTATGTGAAGAACGACAAAGATTTCCACAGAAGTCTACCTCTATCTCAGATAAACAGATCTCCACTGAAGATTTTTGTCTCTATCAGAGTGCCCCCTACCAGATAATATGTACTTATTATAAAATTTCCTCCTAGTTAGCTGTTCTCTTACTACATTCATTTGGACACATAATTAATTCAACATAATCTTGCCAGAACATTAGTGACTAAAGGATGGTACTTTGCAACGTGGTAAGTCTATAAAAGAAAAGCGAAACTCAAGAGGACATAAGTAGTGTAGTTTGCAGGGGTGTGGGTGGGGGTGTTTCAAGATTACTTTCAAACACAGGCACATCATCCAAAATTCGTAAGAAAATATTTGTTCTGTGTCTACAAACAATGAAACCACAGTATGAAACAAGAAAACAAAGATGGAAGAAAGCTATCAGAAAGATGCACAGATCCACCTGATCTGGCAGCAAAGCTGCTGTTTTCCTGCCTAGGCCCAGACTGATAAAACTACCACTGTTGTCTACTGGGCTGGGAGTGGAAATATGAGCAGAAATATGAACTGGATATTTCTCTTAAGTAAATTCAATTAATAAATGTACTAAAAGAGCAATGATTATCAGTTATCTGTTAGAAATATGTGAAAGGGCCCTATCCTAATTAATACTTTGCCAGTTGCTCTAAAGTAAGCTGACAAACCATCATGAACAATTTCAAAAACACAAACCAAGAAAAGTATTTGCACTGCATTACATCACATGAGGGGTTAATTTCCCTAGTATGTAAGAAATTCCTGAAAATTAGAAAAAGTAATGAATACAAATAATTTATAGAAAAAGAAATTTACTTATTGGAGAAATACAAATTAAAAGAAAATTAAGAAGCCATTTTTTAACCTATTAGACTGGCAACAACAATCCAAAAGACTGACAGTATAAGGATAGGCACTTTCATACATTTCTAGTGGGAATGTAAATTATAAAGTTGTTTTAATAATCTCCCTTCTCATTTTTTATGGTGAAATTCCTGACAAAAGAGAAGGAAATAATGCTAATAAAAAAGCTACTAATTTTATTACAAGTATGAGAATACCTATGGTATTTGATGGCCATGAGAACAATTTATATCGTTTCTGGCAACTAAGAATGATTTCAAAAAACATTCAGAAAAACAGCGAGATATACAAGCAATTCACATGAAAAGAAAAAAATTAACCTCATTTGTAATCAATGAAATACAAAAAGAACACATACAATTTTTTACCTATAGTATGGTCAAAGATTATTTTAAATCAATCTCCGTACAGCCAACAAAACTGCAGAGAGGCAGACATTACTGGTAAGTCTTTTTTAAATTTTTTTAAAGATTTTATTTATTTATGAGAGAGAGCATGCATGAGCGAGGAGAGCGCACAAGCAGGGAGAGAGGGAGACTGATGCCAGGGCTTGATCCCAGGACCCCAGAATCATCACTTGAGCCAAAGAGGCAGCAGCTTCAATGACTGAGCCACCCAGGTGCCCCTGTTAGCCTTTCCCATAAAACAATTTTACAATTAGTATCAAAAGAAATTCTTTACCAGATTCAGCCTAGATATTTATTCTGGGAAAAGTATTACAACTGTGGAAAAACATACTTAAGTATAAATACAGTATGTTTTTGTGATACACATGTAGAACTATACAACCATCAGCAGTATTAAATATTTTTTTTAAAGATTTTATTTATTTATTTGAGAGAGAGAATGAGAGATAGAGAGCATGAGAGGGAAGACGGTCAGAGGGAGAGGCAGACTCCCTGCTGAGCAGGGAGCCCGATGTGGGACTCGATCCCAGGACTCCAGGATCATGACCTGAGCCGAAGGCAGTCGCTTAACCAACTGAGCCACCCAGGCGCCCCAGTATTAAATTTTCTTAATGACAGGGAAAGTATTCAAGATCTGTTGTGCGTGGGTATATATAATTTTAATGTAATATATTTAATATATAATTTTATACTTCTATATATACATATATGAGTATACATATATAAAAGGATCTCACTTACATAAATATAAATAGCATAGAGAGTCAACAGAAGTACAGATGCATGAAAAAAACCAGACTGGCACAAAGATCACTGAGCTGCACTTTGGCACTGCATGTCAACACTGGTAAGATACACACCTAAATATTAATAGTGGCTATATCTGGGTGGTGAGATTTTCTAATTTTTCTTTATATTAATAAAGAAATTTAAGTCATTTTTTTAAAGATTTTATTTATTTATTTGTCAGAGAGATAGAGAGCACAAGCAGGGGGAATGGCAGACAGAGGGAGAGGAAGAAGCAGGCTCCCTACTGAGCAGGGAGCCCGATGCAGGGCTCGATCCTAGGACCCCGGGATCATGACCTGAGCTGAAGGCAGACGCCCAACCATGTGAGCCACCCAGGCATCCCTTAAGTCATTATTTTTAAAAGTAGAAAATACAGTTATTTGGATACCATATGAACCCACAGAAAACATGTATGTGTGTATGTGCATGTATTACTTTCTAAGTAGTAGAGATTGAGAGATGTTTAGTCAAAGAAAACGTTAATGTTAATCTTCCTAATATTTAAATTTTCGTAAGATATCAACTAATTTAACATTAATAAAATACATTAAAAAGTTTAAAAAACCAGAAGAGTAAAGAACAGAAAGTTCTTTAATGCCTCCACAAGAGCTACTACCCTCCTCAAGTGTAATTCACAACATAATTCATATATAAAGCCAACTAAGATTTCTTTTTTTTTTTCTAACTACTCTTGCAAATGACGCACTTATGGAATGGGGGTATGGAGAATGCTGGTGAGCACTTACAAGACATTACATACCTTGTTATTCTTCAACAAATCTATGAGATGTGTGGTAACAATCCCATCTTAACCATGAGAAAATGATCAGACAGGTTAGAAAGCTTAGACTGTAGATAACCAGAAAATGGTTGAACACAAATTTAACGGGCTTTGTGCTATGGTGAGCGCTGTGAATTGTACAAGACTGATGAATCACAGATCTGTACTTCTGAAACA